TGTCTTGGGTTAAATTATTAAACATTATTACTTTGAATTAGAAATAGAAAAAAAGAATTATTTATTATAAATCATATATATAGTCTTCCTCGTCCCAGCTCCACACATCTTCTGATTCACATCTTTCATGGCTGGGAATATACCCATTGTTCGTCATTGGAGTAGTTTGATTGACTGCATCATAGTCAGGACGAACCATCCACTGATCTACATCAGCAGGTGCTGCTAAATTATGGTAATAGATGGATCTCTTTCTACTCCTCTCATTGACCTTTCGTCTGTGCTTATCAAGAACTCTTAAGATATTCGTAGCCTGTAAAAAAAAGGTAAGGAAGTTTAATATAGGAGTTATTTCAACTCGAATAATTAATATCTTTATTACCTTATTGCTACGATACATGGGTTTTTTGACATACAACGGCTTCTCGTTATTACAGTCGAACATACCCAATTGATCGGAATCGTTATCAGTCTCCTCTTCAGACATGTATTTCAATACAATGAACCGGTTCACTTGGTCCAAAGTCACATTTTTATTTTCAAATTTAGCCTTGACGGCAGGCAGATTCAATGCAAGTTTTTAACCTTTCAATTTCTAAATTATAAGGTAAGTTCATGATACGGATCATTTTTTATCTCAAACTAACGTACTCCTTTCTTTTGTAAAGCTTTTGATTCACCTTCTTCTCTTCGGCTTTCCTGGCTTCCTCTCGTTTTTCTTCTTCTGTCCAAACGGGGTTAGCTTTCCCACTGTTTTTCCACTCGCGACGCATACTGTTAAATCAAGTTTTTATTTTCATCTCAATTTCATCCTTCAGATCAATCATGGTAGCTTGTCGTTGATATCGATCATTTCCCCCGTGATTTCAGTATACTTGGACAAAATATGTGCACCAACTATATCGGCGATATTAGGATTATTTCCCTGACAAAATTGGATTTCGACGTTAAACTGGTCCTGGTCCTTTAACTTCCTTATTTGGTTTGGAATAGCAGTCTAACAAAAGGTCAAAGTTTGCTCATCATCATATATTTGATTTTACTTACTGTCAGTCTAGGATTGGTATCCTTCTTTTTCTTTTCTATCTCGCCGAACGTTTCCACCAAAGTTTCAGTATTAACGGCGCCACCAGTGCCAGTATATACATTTATTGCAACATCTTCAGAATCACCAAAGTCGGTTGTCTCGTCCAACGTTTAATTGACAACCATGTCGCGTGGGCGCAAATTGCTGATCGCAGCCGTCTAGTGCTTAAACCAATCTTCAAGTTCTTCTAGTTGGTTTTCCATTAATTGAATTTGATTTTCTGCCACTGATCAGAAGTTATTGTAAAAACCGTCTCGAAGCCTTTCTTCCATGGGATTGAAATAACGTTCGAGAAGAGCTGCCATTTGGTTTCTAACTTTTTTTTCATTTTCCATCTTCTGTTGTTCAAATTTCTGATCAAGTTGAGTTGCAGCTCTATTCATTTCGGCTCTGATGGTTTCCTGAATCAAATTAACAAGTGAAATGATGTCTACCTCCTCACGCGTTCTTTTTTGTGTTGCTTTTTCATATTTTTGATAGTAAGGTAAGTGAAACACGATAGTATTACTGTTTAGTATTGTTTATAGTTAAGAGCATCCACGATGGTCACACGTCAAATTTAAAATAAAGCTTTTGGCCTCGAGCAACGACAAAAATGTTTTGTTTGTCTTACCCCAATAAGACCGGCAAATATTTAATTAATTGAATAAATCATTCCTTCTCCCTTCTTCAAGGAAATAAACATTATTAACTATTATGACAACGACGAGTAAAAAAAAACAACTTTTTTATTGTTTTTTTAGACAGATGCGTATGTTTCTATCAACTGCTGGAGTTGATTTAAATTACTGATTGAACCTTGATTAAACCTTATTTGAACGTCAATTGAATGTCCATTTTTCTTTTTCTGATGAAAAAGGATTTATTTTATTTTTCTTTTATTTCTCTTTTATTTTCCTTGTATTTCTCATTTATCTTCCCTATTACATCTATTACATCTATTTTTTTTTAAAAAAAAAAATTGCTATCAGACTTGCAAGGTAATTATTGAACCACTGTTCTTTTATGCGCTCTAATTATATCATGTATTTTAGATTATGAGGTTGATCAACCATACATCTGTGGATCGAAAGGTGACCTAATATTTTACCAATACTTTTTTTACCGTTCTGTCTATCCAAAGGAATGGGGTTATGATTACAATTGCCAAGTTTACACAACTCATTGTTTTATTTTCAGTGTCATAATAGTTGGTGTAGGGGATATGTATCCTGGTGTAGAAATGTCTAACATGGTATGTGTTAGAAACGTTTGACTGATGTATTTTTATGAAGCCTTCCTTAAGTCTAGGAACGGCTGTCGAGAATATCAAGTGAATAATTATGGCTTAAACATGTATGAAGTTCAACCCTTTTTTTTTAATGTCTTTAACAAACATGTTCTTCACTTTTGGCTGTTCCGACAGGTAACTAATCGGGGGGGGGGCGTGGAGGGGAAGCTTGCGTAAAATAATCATAAAAATAAAAATAAGATTCTTTTGCAATATAGATTGCTAGACCCTAACTGTTCTTTAATCGAGGATTACATTTATAGATACAATCATTTATTCTATCGCTTTAATATTACACTTTTTTATAATAAATCGTTTATTTATACATACCTAATTTACCCACTGTCGACACATTGAATTTTAAGCGAACTAATATTTGATCCCTTTTTTTTTTTTTGTTATCCTATTCATCATCTATCTATTGTTATCTCGAAGTTATCTAATCATTATTTTATAAGCAGCAAAGCTTATTCCCAATGCGTCATAGACTACTGATGTAAGACTAACAATAAACTCAATAAATGGGTTTCATGTCCAATCGGATGGCCTTGGTATATCGTCATATATCTTTGTTTAAAGTCAATATCAAAGTTTAAAGTTGTCTTTTCCATGAACATATCCCAAAAATTTGAAAAGACAACTTTAAAATTACATGAAAAAAGTAGAGTATCTCTTGGTTTTCTTTGGGAAAACGACTTGTCTTTCATGGTATTTACTGTAATTATTCTTAAGATAAAAGCCCTGTTTCTTGCACTGCTTGTTCTAGAAATTAATATCAGTATCTCTTGTCTGCTACCAAACTCCCTGTAAAACCTTGTACCAAAAATCATATCAGTGTATCTTGCCCGCCACCGAACTCCTTGTAAAACACATTATTAATCTGCCTCTCAATATTACTCCCACTTCGTGTCTGACTCAACGTTAGTAAACTTTTTCCCGATCACATTTTGCTTTTATTCTTAATCCAGTTTTCCCGCTCGTGTCAAACCATAAATATTCCCCGAACCATCATATTATTCAATGTCAACTAACTCTAGCATGTTATTACTCGTCAAACCTAAATTACCCATCCTTGTCAATAATCCACTCATGATATCTGTTCCGTAAAAACTCTTGTTAATCTATAATTTAAACCCATCATAGGTTTTCACATGTATAAGAAAAAAGTATAAATAGATGCTAGTTATTTATTGGAAAAACGTTATTCTGGATCTTAGTCCTAGCACCCTCCATCTCTTAATAAATAAGCATATTTTGTTTTAACCAATCGCCCCTTTCGCGTCGCCAAGTAGTTCTTGTGTCTTGTTCCTGTTCTGTCCGTGACACTATGCTACTGAAATTACAAAAGAATGACGAAATTCATTACCATTCTTAAGATCGTCTTCAAATCGTTTTTACTCTGAACAAAATACCCTGTTAAGAATCCTGGCTTTTGTCTCCCAGAACATTGCGGTTTATGACGAAGCTTACTTTGAGATGGCAGAAAATCAAGTACAAATTTATTTATCTTTACAAGGTCTGAGACAGTTCATTAAACGAGTTGATGGTTCGCCCTAAATTGGAGTATAGAATTAAACACTAGCCGCGGTAGATATATTGGGGTAGGAGCACATTACGACGTACATGATGGGAAAATATTTAAAATCGGAACAATAACGGTAGTCTTCCATTCTCTGCATGATTAAATACCTTGTATGTATTTCCATATTGCTATTCGCATAAAACCTTTGATAATGTATGTTGTGTTTTAAGGTAAACTACAATTATGAAATGATTAAAGCAGTAATTTGAGACTGTTTATAAGATCTCTTTATCAAAAAATGAAATACACCACTGTTTATGTGCTAAACGCACATACAATAAAAATTATCGGTAATCCAAATTTATATAAATTATCCAAATTTGGAATTCTGACACATTGAATACAATGGAACAGCAGATAGAAAATATTATTAGAAATCATTGAAGCAATATGTCGGCGACAACGTACCCTTGAATTCATGTAGAATTCAACAGTCCAGATAAATTTATGGACTAGCAATTCTAATAACAGTCAGCTTTCAAAAAAGTATAAATAGACCCCAATAATTCATAGTTAAAACTTCAGTCAAATAAAGTAACAAGGACTTATAATTGTACCTATCGTACAATTTTTTTTTTTTTATATTCTTTATATTTTTTTATCAAATCAGAAGTAATTGATTTGTAACAGTTTAAATTAAAGACTGTCTGCTGTTTTCATATCACTAGTGCTATATAGAAGTTATCATTGATTAGCCAAAACTGTATACGATTATTACATAGTTACTAATTTAGTCTTGTTCTAATTAATGTTAAGTCTTCTGAATTTTCTTTGCTTTAAACTAAACCTTTAGTACTTCTCAGACATACTTAATTACGCCCGTGATGTAATATCCTTATAGTTCTTACTATGAAATGAATTGTTAAGCTTATATCACAAATGGTATAAGCAGGGATAAATCTTTTGTAGCTGTAATACGACTACAGCCTTGCTAGGGCACTACTGTTTATATAAAACCAACACGAAAAAACACACAGATATCGTTAATAGAAAAGCCCTAAAACACATTTGCCGTTTTTGGAATCCTAAAAAATTTTATAAATATTGTGAAAAAGAAAAACCTAATCATGTCGAGGTTTCTTGTTTCTATGACGATCATAATTGTGTGATGCTTCATATTTGGGTAGACTAAATAGTATAAGGTATCAATAAAAGCGCTCTTTCTGACAGGCGAAATATAAATGACTTACTTGGCAGGGTCTGTGGGCAAAGGCGAGGAAGAGAAATAATTGTGGTCAAGAGCTTCTAAAGCTGTTAACCGTTTTTTCGGGTCAAGAACCAGTAGCTTGTCCAAGAGGTCTGCAGCAAGAGGATCAAAACTCGAATAATCACGTCGAACACGTCTCACAGTTTTTTTGAACCGGGTCTTCCTAGCATCTGGTAATTTGTGCCAGTTAGGCATGTTTTTTTGATTGGGCGAGCCACACAAATTAAATATTTTTTTTAATTGATCAAGGTCGTCTTGTCCTTGTAATATAGCCCGCGATTTTATCAGCTCGCCGAAAACACATCCAACGCCCCACATGTCAATTGCACTGGTGTATCGCCCTTCACCAAGAATCAACTCTGGTGGTCTATACCATCTAGTAACAACAGATTTGGTGTACTCTTCATTACCGTTATCCATATCCCGAGCAAGACCAAAATCTGCAATCTGTAAAATACCGTCATTGTTGATTAAGATATTAGAAGCTACAAATAAGTTAGTCTAGTCTTCCAACTTTGGCACCATGTGGGAATTCTTTCGCTTTTATTTATAGATTTTACCTTTTATATCTCGATGAAGGATGCCGCTCTTTTATAGAAATAAAAAGGTGTCAGTAAATAATGTTTTATTTTAATCACTATAGCTTACTTCATGCATATGCGCTGTTGCTTCTAATAATTGTTTTAGGTAAGTCTTGATATCTTGCGCAGTTAATTTTACGTTTGGGTTATGCAGTAAGCCTGCCAAGTCATGCTCCATATACGGGAGTACAATATAGATATTTCGGTTTTCTAAGAAAAAAAGCGAGTTTAAGTTGCATATTCAAGGATTCCAATAAGATTAAACGTACCTGGATCGACAACAACATCACGTAAGGGGATGATATTCTTATGGTTCAGTTGTTTAAGGATATTGATTTCCCGTATAGTTGAGAGGTGTATCTAATGTAATTAAGATCAACTCATTTATAGTTTTCAGTCAAAGTATCTAATACTTACCCCTTTCCCTTCGTCCCCGATTGACATTCTTTTTAAGGCAACTAAGTCATTGCTTTCTTTATTTCTCGCTTTGAACACTTCGCTGTAATGTGATATTATTTACGTCAGATGTTATACTCAGTAATGAATTGAAGATATACAAACTTACCCGTAACTTCCTTGGCCCAGTTTTTCCTGTAATTCATAGCTAGTTATTGTCGGACGGTCCACGGATTTTCGCTCATTCGTAATTTTGGATGGTGTGTAAGCTTTGGAGGTTACATCTGTGAGATTACTAATTGAGGAAGACACGCTTGAGGGTGATCCTTTATGTTTTCGTTTCAAATAATTTCGACTTTCTTGGACTTTGATGTCGCCGTTTGATCGCTTGTTTTGCTCCATTTGGGAAAAAATTTAACGGGAGCTTGTGAAGAGAAGAAAAAACTCAAAGTTGAAAACAAAATTTTTTTTAGAATACAAAAAAGAAGTCACGCTATGTTACTATCCCATTAAATAAAATAAGAACTAGAATCGCATGCTTAAGCCACATGGGGTGAAATATGTCATCTTGGTTATTTTTGGCATCTCATCTAGTTACAAATTCAGCGATTTGCATTGACATACGACCGTAACATTAATTAATCAGCCCTAACACACAGAAAGTATTACACTGAATGATATGCTTAATTAAATGTGTAACTTAGGCTGTTCTCAAGAAAAAAAGTTGATACCCCCGTTTTTTTGGAAAAACTTGATACCCCCCTCCATAAGGAAATTATAAAGTTAAAATTTCATACTTCTCAGCCAAAAAGACGTTGAAAATTGTTACTAGCCATTTAAAAAATTAAACCACCCTCAGAAGGTGAAATAATTCTCAAAATAGTATAGCTTACTGTCTTAGTTTTTGGCAGAGAATTATTAAAGTATGAGGATATAATTCCCTAATGGAGGGGGGGGGGTATCAAATTTTTTCAAACAGACGGTTGTATCAAATTTTTTGCTTGGGAACAGCCTTAGAAATAGCTAATTTTATGAGGGTCATGCAAGGTGCACGTAGTTGTATTATGGGATTATGAACCCACAACTGACACCAAATGGTCAAAATATCATATCGCTCTTATCGAGATTTGAATCCATCATAATTGACATATGATAAACATGTATGTCTGTGCCATAGCTTATATTCAAATTCTTGTTAGGTTTTTACTCCGGTATTTCTGTGTAAGGGTCACATAAAACGAGCATAACAGCGAAAGAACAACGATCGCGTTACCATAAAAAACAAAGTTTGAATTGTTCAAAAAACATTTAATTTTGACTATCGTAGTGGTCGAAGAGAGTGATCAAATGATTTAAACATTTGTTTTGTAAATTGTCCTACAAACTCATTTTCTTGGCTTCTTCGATAATAAAAATATTCGTTAGAAGCCTGGAAATCTAGCAATATAATTCAATTCTGGAGTTGTAAAATTCTAATAAAAACTCGGCTCGTATGGCTAGTATAATGTCGGGGGTACACCTACACACTTTCGTCGATGAAAGGAAAGTGTTTTTATAGACTGGAATTGGTCGATGGTTTACCCATAAAGCTTGTTTGAATAGTACTCCTTACCAGATTTGATGCATACGTAGAAAGAATAGCTGAATTTTAGCAGCAGTGATATTACGCGATGTTTTAAAAATTCTCTCCTTTACTCTTTCATTAATTTAGGAGACATTTCGTAGGTTTAGTATAGTCGTTTCTGTGGCATGAACCAAACATGTTCAATTGGATTTGTAGCAAGTGACTGTGCTGTTCAAATAACTGTCTCAAATTGTCAGTTTGAAAGGTACACCGTAACGGATTTTGCTTTGTGTTTCGTATCATTGTCATGCCTGAACATAATATCGTTAGGATAAATGCAATAATACGACTAGGTTCGATGCAAATCATCGTTTAAAACTTTGCAATAACATTTTTGGTCAGGAACATCATCGATGAAAACTATGTATACCACTCCAGACAACGTCAACCAGCACCAAATTTTAAAGTTTGCACCATCATACTTTTAGATCCTCTTTGCATGTTTTTCCTGAACAAATTCGGGTTTTCTTTTGTAACACCCATACGCTATACATAGTGCTCAAACCTTTCGACCTTCCAATGATCTTGCGCCAGTTCGAAGAAAGCTAAAACCGAGTTTTTGTACTCGAACTTGCTCCACTTGTTTTGGGTACGATCGAGTTTGGAGCGAGCATTGATCGAAGCTTGCTCGGTTAAAATATCGATAGTCGGTACTTTAAGGTTAAGGTGCTTAAAAGACTAGTAATCGCTTTTTCCTTAGACTTTACTCTTTTCTGCCCTTTACCATTTTTTTGAATTATGCGCTCATAATTCCAATGAAAATGCTTTAAACTTTAATTTATTTGTACAACCAACAAACACATTTAGCATAGAATATAATACAGTGTTGCACGCTACACCCAACCAAGCCAAATTTTTACTGCGACCATAGAATGCATCTGCTTTTGAGTAGTTCCTAACGTGTTTTGTAATATTTTTGGTTATTCATCTCCGACTAGTACAAGTAGTATAAAAGGAAATTTATTTAAAGCCTGATTTTTTTATGTCGGCGAGATTTTTTTTTTTTGCGCGGCCAAGCGAAGCGCAAGTCAAAGCAACAGATATGTATAAGTATAATAAACACTTACTGAATAGGGAGTGGCTGTAAGTCCCGACCATCACAGTACGTAAATTAATGAGCGAAAAAAATATGTGTTAGCATTGAGTAAAGTTGAAGGCGATGGAAGTCAGAACCAACACAGTACCTAAAACAATGTATGAAAAAACTATGAATTTTGCATTGAATGAGTCCGGAGCGGCTGTAAGATCATTCCCAGCAGTGGCGCTTAAAATCGATTTTTTGGTTACATAAGCGCAAAATATTAGTTTTTTTATCCCCAGCAGTGAGCTTAAAGTTGTTTTATCAAACCGAAGTTTAAAAAAGAAACTTTAAAATTTTGCTAAATAAAGAGATTTTTCGAAGTCAAAAAAAAAAAATCCGTCTTTGACAATAAAAAAATTAACTCTTTTCGTCCTTTATGGAAATGAACAATGGAAGACTTCCAAAACTACAAAATTTAATTTTTAACCGGGATTTAAATATTTTCACCTTTTTTTGGATTCGTGTAACCATTTTTTAACTTGATTTTAATTTAAAAATTTACAGCAAAAGTTTATTGAGGCCTCCCCCCCCCTCTACTAAGGTCAAATTTTAACTTTTTCAACTTTTTATTTTTTTCTTTGGCGCTTATTCTGTTCATTACCCTAAGAAGAATGGCTTTCTTCGGTGGGATTTATCTAAGCATAAAACAATTGGAAACTTTGCCATACAAAGAATGAGTGCTTTTATCGTTGTTACCTTCGCAATTTGTCCAGTTTAACTAAAATTAATTTTTGTCTAAACGTTTTGGAAGCCTTAACGATTTTAATCGGAAAATGCTTTACGCGAAGTTTAAATTAAAATTAAAATCAAGGGAAAAAAGTTTTGGAAGTCTTCCAATATGTACGACTTTGACGACGACCAATCGAACTTGGACATGGTTCTTGACAACCTCAATGTTGACGATAAAGAGTTGGTCAATGATGATAACAACACCAACGTTATGGACTACTCCTGTGACAACGACAGCGATGAGAGTAATTTTGAGGATCCAAGCGAAACTATTGCTTTTGCGCCTAAGCAGAATCATGCTTGGACGAATGCTCTAGACCTCCAGATGTGTATGTCTTAGCTGGCCGTGACGGAAAGACCCATCGAAGGAAATTCAATAGAGTCATCTGTTTTTGGGAAGTGTATCGTTTTTAACTTTAAGGTTTTTGTCATGAACCGCCGATGTTTCAGTTGCATATAACCATGGAAAATGTCTCAGACCATTATTGAAACCTAACTAGCCCATTGTTCCTGCCCCACCTGTTCCCTGTTCTCTGTCTCTTGTCACACATGTCACTGTCAAACATCACTATTGGATCCTGTCTAACGTCTCTGTTCTAAATAATGTATTTCCGTTATCCCTTGACCTTGTAAAACCCATTTAACATCCGTTTCCTTTGTATCTCTGCCTTTGTATCTCTGCCTTTGTATCTCTGCCTTTGAACTCCCTTGTAAAACATTAATAATATCAGCCCGTGTTATCCGCTGTATCTTTCCCCGAAATTATCTTTATCCATGCCCGCTACCACAAAGATGTCCCAAACTCAATATGACTAGTAATATGTCTCTGTAAATCTGATCCCAAACCCTTGTTTACCCGATCTCTCAATTAATATAAATAACAGCATGTTTATTTATTCCTATTTCTATATTCTAGATGTTATCTATTTTTTTTTTTTGCTTTTCTGAATAAACCTTTTTATACCTTCATTCTGTTTTATATATATGTTAATACTAGTAGATATATAATTTATCTTTGTCGTGTCCTCACCTTAATAATCGTTCTTTTTTGCTCTTGCCCCGCCCCGCTCCTGACAGCTTCCGAGAAACAAGCCTTTCCAGAAAGTACGGAAAAAGGATGAAAAAACCACTGGAGAGTTGTTCTTGCTTTGGTCATCACGTTTTGTGGTGCTGTCGGTGCAATTAAACGACGTAATGCAAGTGGTAAAGTTACCTCTGACGAGGTAAGAGTTATGATTAGATTTGTCCTAAAATATTAGGATTTAAAGCAGATATTTCTATAAATATGTGGGTAATAGCCTCAAGTTTTTTGACTAAAAGTATGAAGTTCTGTTTAAAAACGTCCCTTGCTTTCAGGAACATAATGATACTCCTTAAGTGTAAAATCAGTGGAAGCGCAAAGATCGCGAAATTGAGCTAAAGACGTACCACTTTACTATTCATTACCTTTTTTTTTGCCTCCACGTAGCCATGCCGATACTGATGCTGGTAGGCCTGCAGCAGTCCATGACGACCAGGATGCCATGAGTGACGAATAGGTTGCAGTGCGTCCTATTGGACTAAAAAGAGCAAGAAGAATACCCATTTAGACATGAAGTACCAAGGGCTTTCGATGGATTGGACAATATCCAATCCTAATGTCATGATCCTGTTACATCGTATGCCCCAAATATGCAATATGAGTAACCAGCTTTCAGACTCAATATTTATAATTGATCTGTCAGCTCTTTAAATACTTTGTTATGATCCACATAAGCTATGACTAACTTTTGTCATTCCTTATTCTTTTATTTAATTTCTTGTTTTTCTTTCTCTATAAATATAGCTGATAAATTTCACTTCTCCCAGTTTTCTTTATCAGATATATTTCATAATCATCTTCTCTTTTCTTTCCTCCCTTTTATTCTTAAATAAATAACCTGCTTCAAGAAGCTATTCATTCTCTGTCCTGTCCTGCCTGTCTCGTTC